AAACGCGAAAATATGAATGAGTTAAAAATAATTGTTTTGTGATAAGACATTTAGTGTTTTCTTCTGTTTCAAGCGAAACAAGTAGACCTACAAAACTGCCCTAATTGTAAGAAAGATCTACATTGTGTGTCTGTAAGTATTTCTAACATATGAAATACAAAGGTTGAACAGTAAGCATTATCGCGGAATGGTATGTTTTGAAAAGATATGCATATAAATTGTATTATTGTATAAAAATTTCTCTTCTGTAAATTATAGAAGAAAGTGTCTGAAATTTCAGCCTTTGTAAACGGCTTGTAAATGGGACTTACACGAGAAAGTGTCTACAACTTCAGCCTTTGTAAACGGCTTGTAAATGGGACTAAAATGTGTACTACAACGTTTCATGGTGTTTTTTTTCTCTCAGAAATAAAAGTACATATTTCGAACAAACGGCCATATAATTTGCAATTTAGAAATAATTCAACTGGACATTTCGTAATGACCTCATTTTAAATTAAAGTTTATTAACACAAAGTTTATTATTTCAGGGCTGTACAAAAGTCAGTAAGGATGATGTCTCTGTCGTGTGTGTCATTATTCGTATTTCTGTGTAGTGTGGTAGGCTACACATCGGCAAATGGCAGTAAGTATCCTAAAAACAAACTATTCTTTAAAGACACGAGTCACGTTAAACAGAGAAAAATATTTTAATAAAGATAAGTTCTTGTCAGATTTGATCATTTGAGATATATTCAAATACTTAGTCTTGATGAAAATGAGATTTTCTTATATACTATTTTTTTAACATGTTATGTACATTGTCACAACTTTTCCGATAATGCAAGTAAACATATTAATAATATTCATATATTAGCTCGCAAGATATATGAGAAAATACTAAATTTCCGTGGCTTATACGAAAATGCCCGATATTAAATTGTGTTTATATTTTTCAGTACGTCTGCTATTCATTAACAACGGCTCCTGCTCTTTGCTACTTAATGAACTCAATCAGTTTGATTCCTACCAGTTGAACTGGGATGGTCGCGCACTTTCCTCCAATTGTAAACTTAGATTTACCGGGAAGAGCTTTATTTCGTCAGAGGCACGTGACAGGTATAAAGTGTGTGTCAAGGCTTTGAGGTATGACGTCACGGATTGCACATTTAGAATGACGTATTGCTCGGGCAAGAATGGCGGCCCGGTCGAGGTAAATAAACATTGTAGTTTATCATTTTCTGCTTTCTGTTAGAGCGAGCGAGCACGCAAAATATCGTTTTCAATGTATTTTGAAGTCTAATAACAAGTTGAGCCGTAACCGTAGTTCGGACAATTGATGATAAATGTTTGAGATAATCCTATTTTAATGTTTAATTGTTTGCTGTATTTTTTTTAATCAGATGGAAATAAATTATCGTTTGGCTATATATATGAAGGTTTACATACTTCGGCTCTTTAGAATAAGGAGGTGAATTTTGGCACCATGTCTCCAAGGCTGTTACTTCATTCCCTTATCTGTTACTTACGATATTCTAACAGCATTTATTTATGACTAGGAACACCTGTGTGGAAATTTGCAACCATCCAGGTTTTGTGCTGGAGAGGGGGACACTTTATCTATTAGCTTGTCCACTACGGCTGCGTCCAATTCCTCATTCCAACTGATGGTGACTGCAGAGAAAACATACACACGTGAGTAGGTTTTAGTCTCAGCTTTGTTTTTTCACTTACCTGCGTCACCTAGAACCCGGATGTGCGTCACTCATGCAAGAAGTATAAACCCTTTTCTTTGCCTGAATTCAATATGATCTTTGGGGAGTGAAATGTGATAATGAAAATTGGAGTTCCTACATTTATTTTAATATATAAACCATGTGGTCCATTTTTATGAAGCTAAAAAATGGAAATTGGTAAAGGATACGTTTGCAAGAATAAGCAAGGTTGTTTTATACAGAATTAGGATGGAATTTAACTGCCTCATATATTTGTACATCACTGTATTGTGTAGTTCCCCAAGTTTAGGGAGTGGTGTTAGTGTTGATGACAAGTTTTCTTGTATATAGATATATAAACGTTTCTTGTACAGACCCGGAGGAGAATATCTACCTGGTGTATAGTGTGGTTTGTGGACTGTCTCTCTTGTGTTTACTGATGTCCTCAATCATAGTCCTAGTAATATGTAAGAAACACAAGCAGACAGAACGTTGTGTGAACCATACTACGACTGATGTGTACAACACCCCTATGCCATCAGGTACTGTGTTCCCCAGCGGGGTGTATAACGAAGGATACGTCAACACAGAACAAGGTAAGTCGTATACAATCTCACCAAGGGTTGTCGTTCTTAGTTACCAAGGTTACATCAACGCAGAACGATGAATGTCGTAAACAATCGCCACAAGAGTTATCGTTCCTAGTTTACACTTCAAAATGTTAAATTTTATTGTTGGTCTACTGTAAACTATATTGCTTTTCATACAATTTCCGCGGACAGTAATGCATAACACTGGCGTCAAGCTATGCGTTAATGTCTTTCTATTTTAAAATGAAATTTATTTTCACTTCTATATGCCGTCATCAATAGATATATATTTCCTTAATACTAAATGTCAGTCACTGATAACACATTGTAATCTTTGGTATACAAATTCCCATTTCGACAGTTCGTGTAATACGAGAGCATGATTTACTTACGGGAGATATGCGTACAAATTCTGTTTTGACAGATTCCTTTTCAAATGGAATAGCCGTGAGACTTCCGGAGTACTCGGAGAAGGAAGACAAAGTGAATCCACCGCCCTATACAGAAGTTAACGACCAGGCAACCAAAACGTAGTGTGTTACGGATGATTCCTTCAGAGTATGCATGAGAATGTGTTATAAAAACTATCACGTAGGGAAAGAAAAACAAACAGAAAAAAACCCAATTATATTAAAAGGGATGAAAAGTGAATGTTAATTAACGACTTTCCCTACAAAAAGAGATGAAGATAACACATAGAAAGTGTCTACAAGACATGAATGACACTGCTGCCGTCCTGTTTATTTGGAAGAGGGCGTGTTGTCACTAGCGACCGACGAATATGGGCAATATCATTTGGGGGGAATATTTTTTATCTCACAGAACAATGATGAAAAAATGCACGTACTCAGTATTTTTATGTTTCCGCCCGTCCACCTTTCCGAGAGTAGGTATACTACGTGAGGACTTTAGCAATACGAAGATCACCTGACAACCTGGCAGTTTTTGTGCTGTCAGTATGTATGTTGTCAGTTTTAATCTGGCCCATAACTATTGCACCTTAAGATTTAGGGCTTTCATATTTTATATGTGTATTCCTTGTAACAAGACCTTTCCGGTGGTACCAAAATGTTTAGTCATGTGGCCTTGACCTTTGACCTATTTTTGAAAAACTTTAACATTGGCCATTACAGTTGCTTCATAAGAGGTAGGGCTCTCATATTTGGCATGTATGTTCCTTGTGACAAGACTTTTCCGTTGGTACCATATTTGTTTAACCATATTATCTTGACCTTTGACTTACATTTGAATAATTCTGCATGCAAGTTGCACATGCCTTACATAGTACAGTTTTTATGTCCCACCTTAGAATTTTGTTGCAACCAGGGGCATAATGTTCAGTTTGTAAATACTGTTAATAATGAGTTAACATATTGTAATGCAATTAATAAAGTTATTTACTATTTTAATTGTCGTCTATTTTGACTTGTTTTGATGCCTCTGTATACACATACTCCAGGGGTTATGATCACTTTCACTCTCTGCACCCAGGAACATGTCATAGCAAAATTGAAGGCACAATTGAAGTAATTTGGTTTCATGAAAAAAACTGACCAATCACAAGCTGAAAGGCTACTTTTGAAGATTACAGAGTAATTACACCCAACTTCAAAGACATTTCAATATACCGTTATGCCACCTCGAAATTCGTTTAATGTACATCAAAGGACCAAACCAGTATTTTTGTCTTGTCCACAAGGTGTCGCACATGAAACTTTCAATTTTACCATGACATGTTTCAGGGGTGCAAAGAGTGAAAGTGATTGTAATCTCTGGAATATCGAAGATGATGCTTTTGACGATAAAATGGTTCAGTCCACTAAAACAGTGTACATAAACATTCATACATGTATTAACTTTACAAGTTGCCAATATTTGACTTGTCCCTAATCCTTAGCAACTGCTAGGAATTGTGAATAGGATTAATTAGGAACTCCAATCAAGTAATTCCACGAATATGAAAAATAACTATTGCGCGTGCAATAAAATTATGAAATTCAATATTTATTTAAAAATAATCAGTATTATTAAGGTTATGTACGTGAATTACTATTAGTAAGACATTGACTTGTGTTGAACTACAATGCTGCTAACTACATAGTTAATATAGTTAAATATCTGAATAACCGCGTATCAGACAAGAAGAAAACAGATAAAGAATGGAAGATCGAGTGGATCGAGTGTCAACTAACGACCCAAGATCATAATAAATTCAGGATTAGATATGAATTATGCCTCTTTTCAGGGTAAAAATCACAGGGTACAACACAAAGTCAACAATTCGCTCAACTTTGCGAAACGCCCACACTTCTTCCCGAACTGAAAAGCATCAAACAAATGCTGTTTTATGAATTTCAACCTTTTTCAAGTTATACACTTAGTATCTAAATATTGTGCGATATTTGATTGTATACCTCATTCTAGTTAATAATACAGTAATTAATACAATTTAAATTTGGCATCGAGACGGCGTTAGCAATGCCTTTGTAAGCAATGATGCTCAGAGATATGATATTTCTATACGAACTGTGGTAAAATGTAGCCCTCCTCAGGGGAAATTGTGGGAACCTAGATTTATGAAGTTCACAATTTAGGTGATACTCTTTAAGGTCCTTCCTTTATACGTGTATAAATTGTAGTTAAGTTGACACCCTCTCCCGAGAAATTGTATGACACCAGGGCCATGAAATTCACAATTTTGTAAAGCAACTGAAGACCATTCCATAAGAGCATATACTTACATCATTTCAGGATAATGAGACGAATTTTTTTCAAATTTTAGCCAATTCGACCTTTATGAACCCCTCAAATCTCGCCTCAAAATGTCTTTACCATTGAAATTTGAATTGAAAATATGTCGTTTAGATATCTTATTTTATTTGACACCTGTGACGTTGAACGTGGTTCAAGGTCACTCATTTGAACAATCTTGGTAGCCCTTCACATCCCAGCATGCTACAGGCCCAATATCAGCACCATAGGCACTCTGGCTTTTCAGAAGAAGTCATTTGAAGTATTCAAGACATTTAATCCCTGTGACATTTAAAGTGGGTCAATGTAATTCATTTGAACAATTTATTAGTCTTTAACCTACCATGCTACAGACCAAATATTAGCATCATGAGCCTTTTGGTTATTAAGAGGCCTTTTAAAGATTTTAAAACATTTGACCCCTTAAACCTTGAAAGTGGGTCGAAATTGTTTATTTGATATATAGTATTTCTTCGTCCAAGCATATGACAGTTCCAATATCAGTACCCCGGGTCCCTTGGTTAATAAGAACTAAAAGATGTTAACTGTTTACGACGGACGATGCAAGACAGTAGACAAAAGGTTATCGGAATGGGTCACTCGAGACTTCTTAATGGATAATACTGGGAATAAAAATAGCCCACTAGTAAGTCGGTAATAAATATAACATCAGCCATATCAACTGTTAAACGAGGACAGTTATTGCCTCATATTATAGATATAACTCACTAACTATATCAACTGTTGTATAGGGACATTGTTTGTCCACAAAAGATGGTAAAGCTAGCCTCAACTATAGCAAACCAGTCATATCAACTGTTATGGAAACGTTTTTGATTTCGAACAACAGCTATAACATAACAATATCTACTGTCATAATTATCGGGGCATTTTTGTTCTGTATACGCAGATATAACACACGGAACAGCTGACAGAGTTCGTGTGTTCATGATATTGCTTAAGTTTGTGTGTCATCTGGTACACGTGGTGGATATTTCTACGAGTATGTTATATCAACATTTACAAAAATGAACTCATGTACTGTCTTGTCCAAGAGTGCAAACATGTATATACATATGTAATACTACAGTTAGGAAAATCCCGAAAATATTCTCATTGGAAACTTAATTGAAACTGACAGGAAAATAAAAACTTACTCATTTTTGTTACAAACTATTCCATCAGTACTGAATCCATTTGTGACAAAGGCTTGCTAATCTTTAAAAAAAAACAAACAAAATATTTGCAAAACTCTATTTTCCTATTCAGTATACTAATTAAGTTATTGTCGATGTTTGACATCGCAGCAAGTGGCTTTAAATTGTCATTCTCACCTCCCAGAGTTAATTCATTTCGTTTCACTCATTTATTTCTATGGTATAGCGATGAAATTAACAGACGATGGGTACCGAGAATACGTTTTGTTGATGTAGCCTCGTTTTCGATAAACATCGTCACATTTCTGAGGAAAGACTATGATCGAGCTATTTTTAGGAAAGAATTCTCCTGTTCAAGTTCGCTGATATTTTAGTAAGTGAGTGGTTACCACCTTTAATAACATCGACTTAAAGATGTAAATAGATGGTATAAAATCTACTCAACATGTCACAATAAAAAATGATAGTTTTGATCAAGTAATATTCATGATCATGTCTTGATGAACTTTCAATTTAGTGCGGAAGAAGACTACAATTTCACCGACATATGTTGTTTACAGTACACATGACGCATGTATAATAAATTATATACGACCAAACCTCTTTTGAGTGGGTGCGACATAACATTGACCCGGATTTGCTATAAATCTACAACATAATGATGATTCGAACGGGTAGTCGACTGGAAATTACATTATGAATCATTCTTAACTGACCTGTGTTGATGCTGGATATACATGTACTAGACACAGCCTCTTACGGGTAAGTGTACTTAATGGTCAATGTAAGGTAATTCTCACTTGTATGGTCACGCAGAGATGTATGATGACCATGTATACTTTACTCTTGTTTACAACTTTTACACAGAATACCTGTCGAGGTAAAAAAATCAAGGACTATTTAACAATGACGCAAGTCAGCTACAAACCTAAAGTGAAAATACCTGTATTATGTATAATCGTTAGACATTCAATATTGTAAAAATCCAAATATACAATTTTTTGAAGATTTTACTTATTTTTGCCGTGTGTAATGCAAATACAGATACGACTTAGATACTTTTTGGAAGCGTTCTAAATATTGAGAAATACATGTAACTTGCCAGGAGTGTTGTTGAAAACGTCGTTTATCATAGACAGGCTATCCACAATTTAAAATCTATGTGAAAATCAAGGCTTTTAAATCTTAATATCACCAAGACGTAAATCTTCTTGCCGTACAATTCTACACATTGTTTGTTTTTAGAAATTTAGGTTTACAACCGGACCAAATCTGCTTTACATTTATATCAAGTTTTATTACATATGTTTATTGACATGAACTGCTATCGATCCTTAAAAATAAACAAGCACTTTATACGTAAAAAGGATGTAAGCTTGTATTGATGTTGACTTTGTGTTGTACCCTGTGATTAATTTATGTAACAAATACCGAACTATCATTACTCAAAATAGCAACTATTAATGTCATCAGATTATTGTACACTGGAAAATAAATCACAATATTTCAAAGTATCACAGATACATTGATAAAAACATTTACACTGGGAAATATATTACAATATTTCACAGTATCACAGATACATTGGTAAAATTATTTACACTGGGAATCAATCACAATATTTTAAAGTATCACAGATACATTGATAAAAACATTTACACTGGGAAATATATTACAATATTTCACAGTATCACAGATACATTGGTAAAAACATTTACACTGGGAATCAATCACAATATTTTACAGTATCACAGATACATTGGTAAAAACATTTACACCGGGAATCAATCACAACATTTTACAGTATCACAGATACATTGGTAAAAACATTTACACTGGGAATCAATCACAACATTTTATAGTATCACAGATACATTGGTAAAAACTTTTACAGTGGGAAAAACATCACAATATTTTACAGTATCACAGATACATTGGTAAAAACATTTACACTGGGAATCAATCACAATATTTTACAGTATCACAGATACATTGGTAAAAACTTTTACACTGGGAAATATATTACAATATTTCAAAGTATCACAGATACATTGGTAAAAACTTTTACAGTGGGAAAAACATCACAATATATTACAGTATCACAGATACATTGGTAAAAACTTTTACAGTGGGAAAAACATCACAATATATTACAGTATCACAGATACATTGGTAAAAACATTTACACTGGGAATCAATCACAACATTTTACAGTATCACAGATACATTGGTAAAAACATTTACACTGGGAATCAATCACAATATTTTACAGTATCACAGATACATTGGTAAAAACATTTACACTGGGAATCAATCACAACATTTTACAGTATCACAGATACATTGGTAAAAACATATACTATCAACATGTAACTGGTTTGTACATATATATTATGGTTTGCATGCCCTCTAGATTGTGTGTGATATGATTCACTAGTAACCAAGCTTGCCAGATTTGGAGGTTACATATATTGATTCAGTTTCAGTGATACTTGCATGTTTTGTAGGGGTTTAGGCACAGTAAATGCTATGAAACTTTTATAAAACACTTCAAATACCACTGAAATAAGACATATGATCGGGAAGTTGATGTCTTGTTTGTCAAGTATGTTTAAGCATCTATGTTGGATGAGCAGACAAAAATTTACTTCCCCTTTCATAAACTTTATTCGTCCTATACACTGTCATTGCACATTATATAAGAAACGTGAACATAACTTTATTTGTTAGAATATCAAAATACTTTAAACTTCACTTTAATCCTTATCATTCAACAGGAGTATTGAATTCTGGGAATAACTACAGTTATCTGTCATATAATCGGGACTACCTACCGAAAAACCCAGACTTTTTATACCAGGCTAATTCATAGTAAATGTCTGTCACATTATATTGTAAGTATACTGTTATCTATCTTTGATTCAGACTTAATTTTTGATGTTTATATCAGCATAGAAAAAGAAAAAAGATTCGTCTGAAGTGATACAACGCCTGTTTGCTTTCTTTCAAACTCAGAAACAAAATTGTATTGAGATATCAGTATATAAGTTTATGTTTTTGGAAAATCAGGCCTTGCACTTGAGTTTGCATTTTAAAAAAAGTATTCTGGTCTGTAAAGCAAATAACAGCACATCATATAAACTTAAGTTTTATGAATAACAAGAACAAAAAAGAGTGTTTAACACGATAAAAAAGTTCAAATCCACTGATCCTCACAAAGGTTGGTAGCATCAATACTGTAATGGTTGTTCACAGGCACGGTCGTGACAGCAATCAATGCTTCTATCTGTGTTGATAGGACATGCACGTATTCAAAAGAAAATCATGACAAACTAGAGAAACATTTAAAGAAAATAAACCTGCTATTTGTTTTGATTTCAGAAACACGTAACACTCACAATGCCGCTGAACTCTATAACAATCATTCTGTTTGGTTACCTAATGCTCCTTGACGTCGTCTCTGGAACTGCCAGTAAGTTAAAAAAAACCCACAAAAATAGGACTATGTGAGCAATCACAACATAAAAAATGTCACGTTCTTAAATAAGAACAAGGTATAAAGCAACGGAACCGACCTGCATCTTTTAAAACCATGTGCTATGAGTTTGTCGATTCCTAAATGTAAGCACCATAGGTTTGGAATGTAGGTAAGTTGCTAACCAAAAATGGAAAATCTACAAAAGGAGAATTGAAATCACGTTTATCATACATCTTGGAGGGAAGCTGCCAATGTCGGTCTCGTAGAAAGAAAAGATCGAAATAAGCGGCCGATGTAGAGGAGTCTGTCCCGTCCTTGATTTCCAATACAGATAGGTATATACGATGGATGGGGTCAAGACATCACATGTTATTTAAAAAGACATCATCAATTTATCTGAAAGTGATATTGAAGGACTATGCAAGGTCTTCGTAAACCTGTTCTATTAAGCTCTTCGATAAATTTAGCATGAAAATTATAAGCTCAAGCAAGTCATTCCTTTTTTTGTTATTACGAAATTATATCTTTATTTGTGAAAAGAAAATAATTTATTTTTGCTACTTTTGCGAAAACATTTCTTCTCCCAGATACACCTAAACAATGCCGCAGTTTCTTTAGTTCACCGAGAAACTATCAAAACCCCGTACCATGTTAATTAGTGAAAAAGTTGAAATAAAATACTGTTCAATTAGATAGTAAGTAAATTCATATATCAAAGTTTTGTTTGTACAATTCTGATTAAAACAGTCTTGCTATATCTTTATTTCAGTTGATGTGATGCATATAGATAAAAAGGCCTGTTCGTTTGATATATACCACTTAAACGAATACGACTTGATGCAGCTGGAATGGGATGGACGCCAGCTGCCATCTTACTGCAAGATGTCCTTCATTGGTAGAAGCCTAACAGAATCTCTGAACTCATACGATGTCTGTGTGGAAGCCTTGACATATGACATAAACAAATGTGATTTCATGTTGACATACTACAGTAACAATAGACAAATGGGGGTAAGATAAATATCATTAAATGAATATCAAACAGAACAAAGTACTCATTTGATGAAAATATTCTAACATGAAGATTTTATGAAATGTGAAATTTCTGAAAAATTGAGAAACCATTTTCTTCCGATATCAACTGTTACTGTTGTTCATTAGTTATCTTACCTTAGATCTTCTTGTTTCGAGCGGTTGAACATTTAACGTTTCCATATACAATTATATATATATAATTTATTGTCATTTAGAGTTATTCCTGCAAAGACGATTTACCTCCTAAAATCTGTGCCGGCGAAGAAAAATATCTCGATATCAGTTTCAGAGCAGAAACTTCCTCAACTTCTTCAGTGACGTTATTGGTTACTGCAACACTGAGGAAAGAAGGTAAACATTATAAAGTAGATCAGCAAACAACTATAATAAACTCAATATAAGCAGCACCAACAGCTTCGTCTTTTAATGAGCTGACGCAGTCAAATAATGTAGCGCGGCGCAATTAATCCTCTGGCTGAAAAAATAATGGAAAAAATGCAAAGGTATTGTTTCTTGTCTTCATTGTTTTCTAGTTAACATGGTAATGGTGTACGTTGCGATATCTATGGGAGTCCTTGTCGGCACAGCAGGTGTGTTTGTAGTGCTATGTCTATTGTGCCGGAGGAGGAATCGACAAAGTAACCAAGGAATGGTTATACAACGAACCACGCCCATCACAGGAACTTCAACCATAATTCCTGCGGTGCCACTGAGCCAGCCATACATACAAACTGGACCAGGTGAAATATATATTAATACTGCATTATGTTTTGGAAAAAAAATGATGAATAAAATAAAAAGTCTGGAAGAAAAAGCAGAACAAGAAATCTGAATATTATGGCCGACTTTTTGTTTATTTTTATTTACTGTTTACATTTTCAATGATTTGGTAACTTGTAGTTCTGTACGTTATGAAAACTACCCCACTTGTCACAAGATGATATTGAAAAATGCTGTACATGGCTCGAAGGAAAGCTTTCAAATTTGAGTTTCGTCTTTTCCAGATTTAAACCCAGCACAACAAGCGCCACTGATGCTTCAACATACCATACCTGTCTCTCCGCCTATGTATTCAGAGTCATTGAGCGATAAAACAACGCTTCCTCAGTCGCAGTTGAAAATCTGAAAAAAGGTTTACCGTCAGACAATATTAGTCGACACCAACGTAATTCAATATGTATTGTAACGTGATTTACATTAACAAAATATTACAGCCCTATCATAAAGTCGGCGATCTCCCCATGATTAGGGCTATAATGCCGTAGAACTCTTGAGTAGTACAGTTAGTATGATTGTAGCTATTTTGACTGCTACAGAAATACGTTTATGTCATTACACTGGATTGGATTGTATTATTGTGGTGAAGTACACGGACCTTTGTCAATTCTGCTGAAGATGGAATGCCTTCTATAATGCTGAGGTAGATCTGCATGTTTCCGTCAATGTCGACCTAGTCTTAATAAATTCTGTATTCGTCTCACCAATATTTACTCAAAATGCAGTTTTATTCATTTCTATAAATATTTTTATATTGTTCCCTAAGATATTGATACTATATAGGGAAACATTCATAACTTCCATCAATTCAAATATAGATGAGGAAAATTATGTAATCTTTACGTTTGAGTGAATTGTTTTATTGGCGAATATAAGGCTGATGAAGTCTTTTGTAAATAGATTGTTCTTGTCCAATTCTTATGTGTTTATCAACTACTTCATGTGATCATAAGGAATCTTCAGTACTACAGAAAAAAAGGATTGGTTCTGATCCAATCTTTCAATATATTTTCATTATTATGATTCTATATATATATAATGTTATAATGTTAAAAGTTACGATGCTCTTCTTGTAATTCTATTTTAAATGCTTATTTTGCCATTCATTTTTTTACTATGTATGTATTTTAAATGTGCCTAGTACCGGTGATGCAATGTTACTTGTAAAGAAAATTCTATTTCAGAATTGTGAAAGGAAACACAAAAAATATTCGTGATATATGTGTGAAGAACGGTTTATAAATAAAATTGTATTTTTCCTACATCATTTTTTTATGTGGAAGGTAGAGTAACGTGACTGTGATCATATGGTTTGAATGATTAATAATTGTGCGAAAGACGTACATGAGAAATAAAAATCGAAAAAAGACAAGCTGAATGAAACCAGCATCCATCGACCAATCCTTGCCCCGTTATTTACCCGAAAGTTATTTCTGTATTAATTAAAAGATATTTGATAAGATATTACACACATACAAATGTTTAATTGGCACTTGCATAATTTAAAAACCTCCATACGATGTTAGGATACTATTGATAAATACAGGTAAATTTTGCGTTAAGTAATCATGAGAAGTTTTGCCAAGCTAAATTCCACGTGAATGATGACCAGTTCAGAATAAACATATGTACTTGACAGCTTTTAAAAGTCAACAAGTTCGAAAACTATTATTGAAAATACTCTTTTAAGGAAATTTTAGAAAACTAGGATTGAAAATGGTCTTTTAAAGAGTTGATAGAAAACTAGTGTTAAAAATGTTCTTTCAATGAAATGATAGAAAACTAGTATTGAAAATGTTTTTTCAAGGAAATTATATATTTTTGCTGTATTGAATTATACTCTCGTCTAGTTGTTTAGTCTGCATAATAGAGCCATAAACGACTTGCTATCATACAACAATGTATGACAGTGTCAGTGTGATGTCAGGGGAAAATGGTTTGAAAATGAACCTCTAAATAATCCATTGTTTCAAATTGAACATCAGATACATTTCTATTATAAGTAAAAGATTCACTCCATTCAACAACCCTAATTTCTAAGTCATTTTCAACCGACAACCCTCGTTTATCCTTTGTATCATCAATATATCTCTATGACAAATACACCGGCATCAATGTTAACAAAAACAACCTTTATATGTCACAAATACTACACATTATAGATCTTTCTATATCATAATAACATGCATGTAAGCATTACACGGCTAAAATAGCAAGTTTATGTTCTACTAGAAATATTCATATCGAAGCTATCATGCTATTAATATCATCTACAATATATCGACTTAATTTTGGTAAGACAGCAATAGTACCGAACTTTCAAGGAGGAATATTTACTCAAATGTAGTGTAACATGTCATCAATATATATAAATACAAGCCCCAAGAAACACAAAGACATGATGCATAAGAAAATGAATTAACAAAATACTAATCTGCATCGAAACGTCTTGATTGTATGTCAAGGTGTCTTGATTAGCTCATGGTGTGACACCTGTTATGATGTATACTGCCTAATGTTCCTGACAATGTAAACTACCTCTCATCGGATTTGTTTAATCTCAGCAGTTCGTAGAATTCCAGAAAAAAATACCCGTTAAAACGTACGGAAGAAAATTATATATAAATTTGTCATTAGTGTGTATCAAACGTATGAATGAGTGATCAACGGAACGTATAAATTACATATTCCATGAAAAAGACGCGATTTTTCCGTTCATGTAAGTGTTGTTTATACCATCGATATATACCCTAAAATTCTACTGCTGTAGTTAAAGGTCGACCTGAATAGGCTATTTATAAAACATCACGACTACACGCATGGGTAGTAAGGGAATAAGAGTAAGTGGCCTTGACTGTCATGGGTTGATTGCAGACATATGTGTACCTGTGCTAGAAAATTCTCTTACAGGTGAGTATATAAAATAGTCAATTTAGGGTCATTCTCACCTGTATAGTTAACAAGTTACACTAAAACTGTGTTAATATACCTTACCTCTCTGCTGGGCTTTACAAAGAATACCTTGCGATGTAAACAATATGATAAAAAAATTGAATATTGCAATGTGCATTGTTTCACAAAGAGTAAATGAATAACTGATGAACGTTCACTTAATTTACTGTTTGCAGTACTAGTACTAGTTCCTCTATAGTTCAGATCCAATGGCTGGAAACATTTCATGTTTTGTAAAATTTATAAATGACTGAATCACTTAGGCTTGGGCCAAATGAATATGCTGTTTGATTATAAAATATACCTATGTATTAAATAGGGATTATCTCTGTTAGCTTTCTCAAAATAACAGTGTACATGGTTGTATTTTGGAGGGACCCGTGTGTCTTCGTAACTCCATATGTATTATACATTTTATTACTGACAAGGACACAGAATCAGTTTTCAAGATGGCGGTCGATTGTGTTCAGTCATTAGTTTCTGTTTGCATGGTCAACTTAACTGAAAACTTAAGTTTAAATAGTCGTGAATCTTACCAGGTTCTTAGTTATATAGGACTTTAAAACACATTTAAAAAGATAAATATAATGTTATTCATGGAAGGACCACATGTACTTGTGTATTTATAAGGCTGATGTGTGGTTTGTAATCGTAAATGCTATTGAGTCCACACGTACCTGTGGGAAGGACAAAACATGAGTCCAGAAGGGTGACACTGTGTATCATGTTTAGTTTTAGAAATTTTAATAATATGGTTTGGGTGCCTAAGGCAGTCAATGGACTGGATCATTCATCGGAAACAATTGCTGGTAAAGAAGTAAACTCAACGGTAGTTATTTCTAAATAAAGCAGAGCAACCAAAAAACTCCATCTATTGTATAAAGTGATCACACTTGAGCATGTTGCTGTCGCCCCTGAGTATCAGTACTTCGTTTTCATTGGTTCATAAATCGAACGTTTACTCCTACTCCATCTGCCGGACATTACCGTAATCATTGGATAATCGCCCCTACAAGTTGCTGATGTCATTAAATGAAACAACCTTATCGACATTTTCTTCATTACTTGTACATCAAGAAAACGTTTTGTGTTGTGTATTAATGATAATCAGACATCGAAATTTGTAAATACAATGACAAAGACTCACGTTTTATGGTGGTAAATTTTGCGAGGCGATGCCAATATGGCGGCTTAACTTTCTTTTCCGCGCGATGCATTGTGGCTGTCATATATATCTTTCTTTTTTTTCTTTTTAGAAAATTTACTTCCCGTTTAATTATGTTGAACGCTATTGAAAATACTGAAATATGTAGTTGAAAATAAAAATGAAACTAAAATATGAATGATTTAGAGTAGCATAAAATTTTGACGGAAACAGCCGGGGTGCTCTTTGCTGCTGGACCCTGAAAGAAGACGGCGGGTAATTTATGTAGGTAAGTATCACTATATATATATATATATATATATATATATATATGTAAGCTGAATTTAAAGTCAATACTTATACTGAACTAGCATTTGCATTTTTTTGCAACAATTCATTTGAAATGAGCCATCGCATGTATTGAATTTTCAACACAGCCCCAAGACTAAGCTTAGGCTCGACGGCGACGCGCAAGCTGCCAAGCTGGGCACTGCCGTCATGACACTTTTTTTTCAAAATATTTTAAAGACTTTTCCTTTGAAGCAGTATGCATTTGAAAAATGTTATGTAAGCATCTAGCACATTTTTGTTGCTTCCGTAAAGTATTTCAGTATTTTGAAAAGGATTTATTTTTGAATGATCGTTTCATAATGGTCTCATCGCAGTCACTTCTGTCAGTGGCCCAACAGATCGGAAATTTAACAGAAAAACTTATCCGTAATATTGTACTGTACTACTTACGCTACCGTGAAAAGATCTAGGAATCTATTTGTGTAATATATCTATTTTACTTTAAAATGTCGGTCACTGTCCGTGTTATTGTAGATCTAGCTCTTCCAAATATAAATATAAATATAATATAAAGATAATTTATAGGTACCCCAAGGCCAGGGTATAAAATCGTACGGGAACTCTACAGCTATGCCAATTGTAAGGTTTGCAAGTGAAGTTATAGTTTTAGCTTAAATTTAGTTTTTGTTTTTCTGACATGACGTCTTGTTGATATTGTTGAAGAGTGATGAATGTGAGCGATTGCAATATAAAGATTGGGAATAATGAAGGTGTCAATTAACATCTGAATCCCGGAAAGCGTTTTAATAAAGATTAGGATAAACCTAGCAAAGTGTTAGGTCCCAGTGTGAATGTGTAAAGTGTTAGGTCTCAGTGTGAATTTGTGAAGTGTAAGGTCCCAGTGTGAATGTGTGAAGTGTAAGGTCCCAGTGTGAATGTGTGAAGTGTTAGGTCCCAGTGTGAATGTGTGAAGTGTAAGGTCCCAGTGTGAATGTGTAAAGTGTAATTGGTACAATTCTTATTATGCCTGAACTTTTAATATATGTACTGTATTTGTTCATCTAAGAAATTTCAGTATAATGTCAACTGCGTCCACTTTCAGTTCAACACTTTTGATTCATCAATTTTACACAGCGCTAGTCTCAATATTTGTCATTAATTGTCGACTGTTTTTTTTTAGCGTTTTAGAGTTTTGTTTCCATGGTGAATGGAATGAAATGGGATAAATAGTCTAACCAATACCCCTCGAGAGCTAATTAAGACATTTCAGTATTATCACTTTGGGCCTTATTAAAAGTCAAATTGAAACTTTAAGAAAGTCAAGTGACCGTAAGTACAACAATAAGATGTCAATTATCAATGAAATTGATTAATTGAGAGGACATTTTCTTAGCACAGTTAACCAGGCTTTGTAGTGGTTTGTTCAGAACTGTAGTTCTGGTTAAGTAACCATTAATTTTACTGTTTGTAACAGGCATGGGTTCAATTACATGATCATGTAATTAATGAAATTACAATTACATTATGAAAATGGCATTGCCATTACAGGTATTTTCATAATAATTAAATTACCATTACATGACTGTCCAATGTAATTAATTAAATTACACATTACTTTTCAAGTCAAAATGATTTTTGAAATACAAACGTCAAAATAAATTATCATACAGCACAGATTTATTTCACAAATTTAACTTTATGATTCAATCTCTGTATGACCATGGTCAAGATATTATTATTTTACTAGCTGGCCATCGCTTAATAATTTGACAGTCCAGAACGTCAAAATAATTAATTACAGTATATTTAATATACACTCCTATTTGGAAATTCAAGACTATAAGCTTAACAGAAGTGTATATTTCTTGCACATAA